GAAGTAAATCCCATCAGTATTAAGATTTACTCCTACGTAACTAGAATTGCCTTGGGTGATCATTCAGAATGCAGCAGTAGCTAACAAACAATTATATGCCACACTAGGTGGTATTAAAGTGCCAGCCAAGTCACATTCTGCTTGCTCTGTATAAAACATCCGATTAAGACCAGCTGTTTCCAGACATAAAGCTACTGTTCACTGCTATGATTCATGTAACTTATGCATCCCAGAATGCTGCTCTGTCTCTTAAGTAATAATATTTAGTGTTTTTGTATCTTGATTGCAGTTTTATATATTTTAATTTATTTTGTTAGCTGTCTTGAACTTTCTGGAAAGGTGGGATATAAATATTTTATATTTAAAAGTATATAAATATACTATTTGAGGCTAGAAAGAGGTTTATTCCCTCAGCAAATACTCTTTAAAAATGTCAAGGTTATCTGCTTACATATACAATCAAATCAAATAGTAACAAAGTATCTTTCAAGGCAAAGAAACTAAAAAGATACAAAAGTGTGGCCATTGCATCACCCAGCATTCAGACATTTTGAGAAAAGAATGCTTGTGGAAAAGAATTTGAAGAACAATTCAGTCACAAGTAAATGGTTCCCGACTGCTTTTATTTACTGATGCTCTTCCAAAATACTTGCCATTATCGCCCTTGTGGTGGAGGGAGACTCCGCTGCTACAAGATCCTTTATGCCAAATGAAAGTTCATATTTCAGTGTCAAGGATCGAGGTGGAAAAGTTTTGTCCCCACCCCAAAAGTGACTGCAGCCTGTTGTTCGACAGCAAATAGTAGCCGCTCACTCATATGGGAGAAAATAAAAGGGTGTATTTGAGGACATCGTGCAGGACACAATTCCCTGCCTCAGAAGACTGGAGCTGATTTATCTAAACTCAGTAGGAGTCATTAGAAACCAAGCTTGCATTTGTCTACAGTGGCCCCAGTCCTTCATCTACACAGTCTTGTTCACATGAGTTCCATTTCTTAGTCGTGCTGTGCCGAAAAGGACAGAAGATTAAGAATTTACTGATATGTATATGTATATGTATATGTATATGTATATGTATATATGTAGTGACCAGATAGTCCCCTCTTGAATTATCCATTGGGGCAATCCCTAGATTCTGGATACATTAAATGATACCAGTACAGGTTTGAAAAAAATAATTTAGGCACCCAACAACAATTGTGATCACTTCAAAAGCTCCCTAGAAGTACAGTAAATGGAGTCAACAAGAGAGTGCCATGGGTGCCATTTGGCCCAACATGGTTGAGTTACCTTCTACTCTATACAATCGTTTCCTCTCCTCTTTTTGTTCATTATCCATTCCTGGTTCCTAGATACTGTTGACTGAGACAATGTACCTGCCTACAGTTCCGTATTTCCTGAAGCAAAGAAGGTGGCAAGGACCCCATGCAAATGGAGGATGGTGCAGTCGAAATATGCATTGTGGCATTAGAGAAAACAGGAACTCCAGAACTTTTTCTTTGCTATACAGATGTTCATCTTATAGCCGTGCAAATGTTACCTGGCGTGCTGCAGCTGAGCAGGGGCACCTGTAGCTGTCAAGCTGATAAATACTGATTACGTCTTTTAATTTGCACAGTCCTTATATGACTTATTTCTTTTTACTCCTCCATTCTCAGTTTGCTTTAGATTTCTTTGGGAAAGGGCATGGTCTAACCCTTTTAACAATAAACATGTGCATAATAACTTAGAACAGAGGTTGCTGGTTGGTAGCTCATGGGCCAGATTTGATCCAAAAACCAGTTCTGTTCCCCAGATTTAATGAAAATATGGTAGATATTTTGCTTGCAGAGTGTTATCTGAAAGGAATCAGCCAACAGAAAATATGAGCTTTCTAGTAGCTGTTTCCTGGTGTATATATGAAGGTGACATCATAATATATATGAAGGGCCAATACTGTCATATCCTGTCCGGTGCATGAATTAGAACCATAATAATAAAACTAAAAACTATCACTACTAATTAGTGCTTCAACAAAGCTTTACTCACATCTTTTTCTGTGCACACGCAGATCTCTCTTATTGGCTTCCTTTAGCATAATATACTGTAGATTATTTGCAATGACTGAGATTCAGCAATGTATGGACTGGTCTCTTTCAGATAAAGGAGAAATGTGCTGGAATAAACTGCAGCATCTAACCCAACCAACCAAAGGATTGAAGAAATGTACCAGATGAAGAAAAATCATGGTTGTTCATATTTACATACATATGGTTGAAGTAAATATTAAAATGAAATGCATGCCTTAAGCCATTAATTGCAGGTTGTGTTCCAAAAAATAGATAGCCTGTCAAAGATTCCACATGGCTATGAAAGGAAATCTGCAGGTTTACACCATTTTATATAAAGTCACACTTCTTAAAACCTGAGGCAGATCTCTGCACAAGTCATACATAATTGCTCTAGGAAAAACTAGTTCCCCCTTGATTATTCACCCTGCTGGGATTGATCATAGCTGAGCCAACCTGGCCATTTATTAACTGGGGCAGCATGAGTAGCAGAGCATTCTGCCTCCCCATTCAAGGTTGAATAATTGACCTTGTGCCAGTAAGTAAGCTCTCATTCAAACCTGTAGCAATGCCTGCAGTGAGAGTGCCTGGTGAACAGGCAGGCTATTTGTGAAGACTTGGCAGTCTGGTGAGACTTCCTTGTCTAGAGAAGCTCCAAGAAATAAGGGTGAGGGGTAGCCAATCCTGGATGCATTGCTGGCACTGAGTGCTTCACCTAGTGAGACCAAAACACTTCACAGTCTGCTAAGGAGGATTTGAGTATATTGAGTATCTGCTAAGAAGTATTTGTCTGCTAAGGAGAGGGAAGTTGTTGCCCAAATACTGTTGAGATGGCACAGGGAGGCATTAACTGCAGCCAGTCTTTGCTTGGACTCCTTTGCCTGATCAGTGTGGAAGGGCCAGGAGGCTACTGTGAGATCTGCAATGCCTGGACAGCCATGTCTGTTGTGCACATTGCATGACTGCTTAGCTATTTGACCTCAGCTGAGCACATGGGTGTCCAGGGATATACCAGATACACTCCCAGGATAAACCAAATCCCCAGCTTTTTTCTTTTCTTCCAAGAGGAAGTTTATAACAATTGTAAACCTAAGATAGGAGGAAAAACATATAGGCACTATTCTATCACAGGGCAAGTTTCCAGCACACTCTTTCTGTATTTGGGCTGCAATGGTGGCTGGACTGAGAACACCAGCCATTAATGCTCTTGGCAGAAAGAGATGCCAAGCAATGGGACCAAGTTGTGGCCAAAGGATGTGGTGAATAAACAGGGTAGGCCACTGACTCTTACTGAGCCTCTCTTTTTCCAGGCCCCTTATCCCACGAGGGTATGCATTTTGGGCAGTATGCCCCCCTCTTCTGGGCAGAAAACCACCCAACTTCCAGTGAACAGGGCCCCCAATTTAGGCCTTGGCCACCTGGGCAGCTTCAAGTGCTTTGATAAATGGAGGAATGGAGTGAGGAAGCTTTGAATGCCACTGTAAAGCATTGCTCATGCACTTGTAGGGAAATAACTTAGGCTGCAGTCCTAAGCCCCTGTACCTGGCATGGGTAGGACTGGACATGATTAGGATTGCACCATTAGTTAAGGTATCATGTGTGACATTGGCTACCATGGTCACTTTGATTTTCAGACCATTGCCATATTGTTTCCAGGCATATTTGCCATACAGCAAAAGATAATCCCAAAGGTTTGGCAGAGGGCTAGGAAACCCAGATATTAACATGCTCTACAGGAATACAAAAGGGCACACAATTTTGTGATGGACTGGCACATGTCTCTGAGACAGCTCGGATACAGCATTCACCTCTGCCGTGTGTGTGTGTGGGGGGGCAGCATTTACCTTTGTTCCAAAGGATGTGATGTGTACCTGCAGAATCTAGTCACAGACATATAGATAAAGGTATTGGAGGAGAGAAGTAGGATGCAGGTGAGCATGTGTGTGTGTAGATTGTCATCCATGGTTGTGGCTGTGCTAGGGTGTTAAGATACAGGGCAAGGGGCTCACCAGGCTGGATGTGTCTAGGTTACCATCATAAAAATTTTAGGGAACTGTGAGGTCAGGACATTTCTTCACTGAATTGTGGGCACAAACCTTCCCTTAGGCAGTGTGCTCAGGTGTGAGAAGACCACCTAGAAACAATTTTTACATGGAAAGCCAGTCCCATACCCATGCTAGCTAAGAGCTTAGTTAACTGACCATTTTATTCCATCTTATGCTTTGACATGAGTGTAATGATAAATAAAGCTGTGGCCATATACTCTGAGAGTGCTGTCCATCTTCTTATTGCCAACCACAAAACTTCCATTTTTGCAGATGATTGTGTTTCCTCTGCTCACTTTGCTTCAGGATACAACAGTCCACTGAGAGACCAAATCCTTTGCCTTTGAGAGCAGCAAGCTCTGCCCGTGGCTTCTCCTCATTTAAATGTGCTTGCCCATAGAGTCAACCATTTGCTTCTTAGCCCTGGGAATCTCATGATGAAAAGCTTTGATAACCATTTGATAACCATGATACTACTACAGTAAAATGATTTTTTTGTAAGATTGGTTAAAATTTTTCTAAATTACTGTGATACCACCCTAATGAAGATCATATGAAGTGTCATTGAGACCTTGGAGTTGGGGAAATGGGAAGCAGATATTGCATTTTAAAATGTATGTATTTTATATCCACATAATCTCAAGATACTTTCTTTCATGAAATAGGTTTTTTTCTCATATAGACATAAATACAGTGTTAACTATGAAAAACATTACAAAAAGTGTTTCTGTTTAATTTAACAAGTAGAAAAATATTACTAGCTTACATGGCAATTATGACTCTAATATTGTACAGACGTAATTCATAGATTTTACAAATAAATTATATCGTCAATGCCCTCCTTTTCTAAATGTGCCCTGGAGCATTTAGGCACACCAGATGCTTGTCTCTATAACTTAGGACCACACTCAGTGCCAGTCAAATGTTCTGCCAACAAGCTGAAAGAATTTCTGATTAGGTTCACGAAAATATCCGTGTAGCTTTTCAAGTAAAATTGGATCTACTTTGGGGTGTGCTCTTCCTTTCGACTCATGTAAACACCTATCCCTGCCACTGTCCCTTAAGCAGTAAAAGCCTTTTGTTTTATTGAAGTAAAAGTTTGAAGCATTTATCTGAGGTGAGAGATTTAGAAACCTTTCTACTTTGACTATCTCTGGGAAAGGATCTTTGATTAACTTATCCCCATCAACAATGTGAATGTGATCCAGAGGAAAATATTTCAGCCAGTTTTGCATGTGAAAATAATACAAGCTCCTGTTTATCGCTTTGTAGTTGACGTTGAGTTCACCATCCTTAACCAGGAATTCTTCAATGGAGGGATATAGCTTATGTTTTTGCATGTGATTAAAAAACACTTGCGTATAGTCCGACAGCACTCTCTCTGTTGGGTCTCGTAAGATAAGGAGCAATCGGATAAGTTTGTTCATTCTATAAACTCTTTCAGGCACTTTTGGTGAAGTGAAATATGCTGGAGTTTTCTCCACTGTTATCTGGTATGGGTACGAGAATGGCATTTGGCTCACATACCACTGCAATCCATTTGAATAATGCTCTTCCCAGTCAAAGAAGTGGACTTCGCTTTCTGCTGCTGCCATATCCGGATGGAGGCTTAACATCTCTAGTAAAGCTCTCGTTCCACCTTTCCGTACACCAATGATGATAGTTTGTGGAAGCCGCTGGAGTGTCCCATTGAGGTGGATGCTCTCTTTGAGGTCACCTTTCCTAAAGGGCTCTTTCTGAGTAGCAGCCTCACCTTTAAAACTGGCAGCAGACCTGGAAGGAACTGCCTGAGGTTGAACAAAAAGCAGTGCTGCTCCCAGCAGAAAAACAGCCATGACAAAGGTCCAGTCTTCTCTTGCACTACCAGCAAACAGGACATGAAGAGAACATCACTAGGAAGCTGAGGTCCTCTTTTTCCGCAAAAATGTATTTCTTAAGCAGATTATTCACTAGGAACATAAAAGAAAAGAAAAAAGCAGGTTATAAATGTCAGTTCAAATATTGCACCTGTGCTCAGTATTATTTTTACTTGAGCATAAGAACTAAGAGGTTTTCTCTAATTTACTTGTACTTATGAATATTCAACCACCCCTGGGAGAAATATATGGTATTTACTACACATTGAGAATATCATAATTTCCATTTCAGGTCTTTCGTGAGGATCACAGCTACAAGAAGCAAATCTGCTCTGTGCCTGTATTCTCACAAACATTTAATATGAACACAAGTACAAGGTGAACACAAGTAGCTTGTCTATTGTATCTTTGGGTCTTTGGGAACCCAAATGGAAAATATAACATGCAGAGGGATAGCCATGTTAATCTGCTGCACCAAACACAGCTAAGAGTATTGTTACATATTTAGAAGTAAAACATTTCCAGAAGTGTTGGACACGGGAAAAATGGATCTCTACCAACTTTCATTAAAAAATGAATTTTTAGGGGGAAAGAAGTCACTTGAAAGCTTTTGTTGTGGTGGCCGTAACCACAAGGCAACACAATCTCTTGGCGCTTTCAGCAGCAGCACTGCTGAAACCCAGCACTGCCAGATACTCACTTCCATGGATTTTCAAATGACTGGAGAAACACTAGTAATGCTGAGAACCCTGTGTGTCCAGTACTAGAGGTCACTACGTCTCAATACAATGCATCTTTAAATAGCTACTGCATTGTTAACAAACTGCTTGTGCCCATCTTCGTATTCCATTCAAAAACCACTGGCAGTTTTACCAGATGTTAACATCTAGGGCAGTAATTCTGCTGCTTCAGAAATGATATATGAATCTACAGTATATGTAAGGCTATGTATAAAGGTGCTTAACAAGCATTTAAGAAATCAAGATTAACATGACTCTCTTCATTAAGGACAAGCGAGAGATAGGATGGAGAAAATGCCCCATGCCCAGGGTAGGTAGCATGGAATGTATTTTTGTGAGTTCTTCAATACACTTCCATAAGGGATTCCACACAGTAAAGTGTCAGAGCAGTGGCACTGAGCATTTGTGTAAATGGAAAATTCCTAAGAAAGCCCAGCACAATCACGTTTGACTTCAAAAGATGAAACTTCTAAGAACAACAACAATGAAGTAAATACGTAGCTGAAAGGGAAAGTCAAGGGGGTCAAGTTGCTCCAAAATGCTTGCAAGTTAGTTAAAAATCAGAAAAATGAAGCTTGGCTAGAACACATACCACAGAGATGTAGGAAAGGTACTATCAACCTGAAGAGAATGCAAGCATGGTTAACCAGCTGAGTCAACAAGGCTAAAAAAAAGGTATTAAGACTTTCCTGAGAACGCGGAACCTTTCCCCAAATGAGGAGTTCAAAAAAGAAACACAAACTCTGGCAAAACAAATGTTAAGAAAATAAGAAAAGCCATGCTGGATCAGACTAGAGGCCTATCTGGTCTAGCATTCCTGCAGTGGACAACCAGATGCTTAAGGGAAGTCCATCAGCAGAACATGAGCACAACAGCATTCACCCCACTCATGTTCTCCAGCAATGGGTACACTGGTGAATGTTGGTCAGGTCAGGCTGGATGAAAGGAACTACTTCACACAGCATAAGCACATAGAATCATAGAATCATAGAGTTGGAAGAGACCACAAGGGCCATCGAGTCCAACCCCCTGCCAAGCAGGAAACACCATCAGAGCACTCCTGACATATGGTTGTCAAGCCTCTGCTTAAAGACCTCCAAAGAAGGAGACTCCACCACACTCCTTGGCAGCAAATTCCACTGTCAAACAGCTCTTACTGTCAGGAAGTTCTTCCTAATGTTTAGGTGGAATCTTCTTTCTTGTAGTTTGGATCCATTGCTCCGTGTCCGCTTCTCGGGAGCAGCAGAAAACAACCTTTCTCCCTCCTCTATGTGACATCCTTTTATATATTTGAACATGGCTATCATATCACCCCTTAACCTCCTCTTGTCCAGGCTAAACATGCCCAGCTCCCTTAGCTGGGCATCGTTTCCAGGCCTTTGACCATTTTGGTTGCCCTCCTCTGGACACGTTCCAGTTTGTCAGTGTCCTTCTTGAACTGTGGTGCCCAGAACTGGACACAGTACTCCAGGTGAGGTCTGACCAGAGCAGAATACAGTGGCACTATTACTTCCCTTGATCTAGATGCTATACTCCTATTGATGCAGCCCAGAATTGCATTGGCTTTTTAGCTGCCGCGTCACACTGTTGGCTCATGTCAAGTTTGTGGTCAACCAAGACTCCTAGATCCTTTTCACATGTACTGCTCTCAAGCCAGGTGTCCCCCATCTTGTATTTGTGCCTCTCACTTTTTTTGCCCAAGTGCAATACTTTACATTTCTCCCTGTTAAAATTCATCTTGTTTGTTTTGGCCCAGTTCTCTAATCTGTCAAGGTCGTTTTGAAGTGTGATCCTGTCCTCTGGGGTGTTATAATTAATAACTATAAAGGTTTCTTGTGGAAAGCTATTGAAAATGCCACTGATATGTGCTTGTATATGATGCTGATTGGGATGTTCAGAAAAAGCATACACAGAACAGTCCATTAATATTTTAAATATGTTTCTGGTTTTTAAGAGATCAAAAACATTCTTAAATATTCCTTTAACCTTTGCCACACTTTTTCTCGAACTCTCATTCTCTCATTTTTCCCCATTGCAGAGACAATTGTGCATCTAACAAAACAACTGCACATCTAACAAAAATTTGCTTCCTCAGCTTTGCATAATATCAACAGGCATTTCACATACAGAAATCTTGACAAAATAAAAAGAGGATCATGGCAAAAACTATGATTATACACAAAACTGCATCATCTTTGGGGTGGCAAGGCTCAAGAATTAATTACACAAATTTATGGCCATGATATCTCTATGAAACCGCCAGGTTCAGTGGCAGTAATGCTAGCTAGTAATACCAGCTTCTGGGAAGCAAAAGCAGGACAAGAGCAAATGCCTTCAATCTTGGCCCACTTCAAGGTTTCCAACAGGCATCCAGGAAGCAGGATGCTGGATCCAGCAGGCCTCTTCTGAGGACACAGCAGTTTCCCTTTTCCTCATGAGAATGAAGAGCAGTCACCCTTCTGGGAAAACTGAACGATGCAAGTCAGGAGTATTGTTTAGGATTTTTGAGTAAATGCTTGCCCTGATCACTTTTGTCTTTTCTTTTTTCAAGGGGAGCAGATTTTACCAATTGCAACCCATGCCCTCTTCCCACACAGAGACCATGCACGCTTCCTACCAAGCAGAGCCCCATTCTGGATCTGCTTCTGTGCAATGAAACCCAGGAAGGGGCTTTGGATATGCAAAATGAAGTACATGGATATAATCCAATCCAATCCTTTCAAAACGTACAGGGCAAAATCAGTTTAAAAATGATGTGCTTAACTGGGTTGTAAATCATGTCAGTGTTGTGGATCATATTTGTTTAGGCTCTTTCAAATGGAGACAGATGCCAGCTTCATTTATATTGCTTATCAGTTTCAAAACCAGTACTTGAAACGAACCAATTCATGGAATTAATTCAATAATTTCTGAACAGCATCTCAAAGTAGTTCCTATCATTTTTGCATGAAATGAATCTGAATTAAGTTCCTTTTGCAATGGAACTTCGTGTGATTTTTAATTTAAGTGTGTGTGTGTGTTTCATCATCACACTTAGTTCTGGTGTTAACTTCGGCAGAAAATGCAATTGGGTGGGGAAATGTACTTTAAGGTATCACATATGTCTTTGTGAATGCAACTGTGGTGTCCACATTCAGACAATGCAGTGGTGCAATAAGATTACCACTCCATCAAGCAGAACTGAGTATTGTTCATTGTACTGTATATTAAACCCCAGTGACATCATCAGGAATGCAGATCAATGCTCCGTGAGAAGTGGTTACAGGAAACCAGGCAGAGAGCCTTCTTGGTAGTGGTCCCTGTGAAAAACCCTCCCATCAGAGATCAAGGAAATATACTATTTGCCTTTTAAAAGACATCTGAAGGCAGCCCTATATAGGGAGGTTTTTAATGTTTTATTAAGTTTTTATATCCATTGGAAGTCGCCCAGAGTGGCTGGGGCAACCCAGTCATATGGACAGGGTACAATTGTTCTTGTTGTTTGCCTAAATAATGTAGGGAAGCAGTAGTAGCAAGACTGTCCAGTAAGCGCTGTCCGATCCTGAACAGACATTTGGCTTAACTACAGTTTGGCTTAACTGGGTTATTGGTATGTGTGCCAAACTAGTTTGTTCTATTTAATTCAAATATTAACTTTCTTCCTATGCAAGAAAATATATACAAATGCCAGCTGTTTGTGCAACTGCTAGGACATGATAAACAAGATATATGCAAAATATAGCTTATTTGTTTCCTATATAATTACAAGTTGCTGTAAATTATGGTATTTTTATTGGGACCCATTTAGAAATGCAGATTCTTGTAAATTATTATCTTCTCAAGGAATAAAATAGAACAAACAACTAGCAGATTTTGTTTGGTATGACATGTTTTATTCAGAAATCCATACTTTCTATATTTAAAACATTCAAGAGAACACTTCGGAATTGGACTATTTGTGGTTTCAAAACCCTGCCAGCAGAAAAATAGAACTTGCAGTACAACCAACACAAAAAGTACTTTCAGAGAGAACTGCTCTTGAAATGAACAGTAGGAGACATTGGGTTGTATCCAACAATGCTGTTCCACTCATACAACACACTTCCACTTGCACAATGGAATTTCCCCTTCCTCTCCTCCTGCCATGCACCTCCAAATGTGTTTCACAGCACTGGGGACTCTCTGGAAGAGATTTGGGGTGTGTGCACTGGGGAAACTCAAGAAGGGGAAGTTGTATTGCATGAGCCAAACTCCACTTCTCCAATAATGGATACAACCCAATCATTTCGAGAATCAAGAGTATTTTGTCCGACAGTTTTTTTCAGTTGTACCCATGAGAAGGCTAATTAGTTAGGAAGGAACTCCCTGGTTGCTGTAAGTGTGTAAGTTAAGAGAATAAGAAGAGACCAGCTCAATCTGGCCCAGAGGCCATCAGTCCTAACAGCCTGTATCCCATGGTGGCCAACCATATACTTCTAAGATGCTAGCAGGCAGGGCACAAAGGCAAGAGATGTGGAAACAGTCTCCACAAAAAGCAATTAGACTTATTTCTAAGGGTCACTTCAGAAGTTCTGCAGTGGCAAATCTGTGTTTGTCACCAAGAACTGCTGCACATATTACATTATAGGTGCATAAGATGTTTGACATATTTATAACATCATTTATGCAATGCGGTTTTTTACAAGGCAGCTTACAGAAAACCATAAAACAGTGTAATACAACAAACTACCAAGGCAGGATAAAATACAGAAAAGTTAGCACGTTTATTATTCATATCCCACTTTCCCCATTCTAGTTTGATTGGATACTTGTCTCCCCTCCATTTCAGCCACAAAGGACAACAATAAAATAAAGAAGTCAACACTTTCAGAGACTGAGGATCAGTACAGTATTGTCAGTACAGTACAGTACAGTGCAGTACAGGATCTTCCATTTTTACAGTGCATTTTGCAGTCACCAATGAGAGCTTTAATATGATGGTGAATTTGTAGAAATCCTGTGAATTCAAAGGGATCCATTTTAATTCTACTAGATCTGGCTTCTACCTAGACCCCATGGAAAAGCATTGTGTGTCTGAACTTTCTGTCCTTTTTGGGGTGTGGGGAAGGCAGTTGGAAAGAGAGGAGTAACTAGGAGATTGGTGGTCATGGCACTTCCCTCAAAATTCCAGATATTCCTTTGGGTCCAAAAAAGTTGGTGACCTAGGACTAGGTTGCTTTTTGCACTTAAAATCAAACCTAGAAACAAAGTAGTAGTGAATGAAGCTGGTGTAAAATTAGTGTAGTGTGCCAACAGCCTGGACCTTGATAACATCCTGGTGTGAACATGACCAACAATGAGCTGGTTCAGATGTAACACCAAATCATGGGTTAGGGACATGTGCATGAGCCTGATTTCCAGTGCTAGTTGTAGAGCAGGACAATCCATTGCTTGCTAATTCACTTGAAACAGCAAACTGTGCTTTGCCTCAAATAAGGAAAGGAAGTAGGGAATGACTGTAATCAAAGGGAGATGGGCACAGCCAGGTTCATGTAAAATTAAGTTTTGATTTTGCATTTGAGTCACCTCAGTGTACAATACAGGGCAGAAAGCCAGGATTAGCCACATATTGTCAACTTTCTATATGGTTGCAAATCCAGATTTGCTGCTGCTAAAGTCTGAAACAGCCTTGGCTATTTACTATTTGAGGAGTTTCACAAGTCCCAGCACTGACATTTTATGGCTGCCCTAAGGAAAAACACACTTAAGACCAGAATGTCCCTATGTTGTTTTAGCACAGCCTCCCAACAGCTATGGTCCCATCTGCAATGGTACATAAGACATATCCTATGCAGTAGTACCATTAAGAGCCTACGTTTATTAAATGCTCTTATATGCAAGATTCCAATCATGCCATCTTTTACATTTTATACAGTTTACATTTTTTAGCCCATTAAGAATAAGTCTGGGATATTGCAGTATGCTCTTGACTTCAGTACTGCAAAAGTCCCAAAATACAGGCTTTCCTTAGCTTCTCATCTCAACAATATTTTTTCAAAAACATGGCTTTCCCCCCTCCACTCAACTTATACGTTTTATCCTAAGTGTTCTTTTAATTTTTTTTTACAGAAAGATCCAATCATATTTGTGAACGAGAACCAAGTTGTGAAGTACAACATTAACATTTTAATCATAAATATATGTGTGAAAGGCATCTCCCTGAATTAATTGGAACTTAGTGAAGGCAAACTGACAAATGAATATCATGTCTGTGGGACAGACTAAGGGTGGAGGAGCTTTCATCTAAAATTTGTTCGAAATGAATTATCAGCACCACGCTGACACTTTGGAAACCAGAGAAGTGTTCTGAGATTATCAGTGCTCCTCCTTTCCTCCCCATATAATCTCACTACACCTGCTGCTATTACCTCTGTGAGGAAAGACACAGAGAGCATTAGTTTAAAAGAGCTGGTGTAATGCTGTGGTTAGTGTGCCAAACTGGATCATGAAGCTCACTTGGGCCAGTCACCATCGCTTAGCCTACCCCACAGGGTTGTTGTAAAGGTAAACTGAAGGAACAATGTACACTACCCTGAGGTCATTGGAGGGAGGATAGAAATGTAATAAATAAAATGAAAAAAGACAAAAAGGTGATACTCATCCTTGGAGCCATTTTTAAAAGTTAGCAAATAATGTTGTTTCTTTAAAAAATAAAACAAACAATCAAATAGAAGTATTTCTTCTTCACAGAGAAAAAAGCACACTAGCTATATTAAAACAAGGACCTCACAAATACTGCATACATTGGCATCTAATAAGGGTGCCTGTTACAGACTCAGACTACTGACCCATCGAAACTTGCACTACTGCAGTGACTCTCAGATTCCTAGCACCCAAACCTCAAATCCTTTAACCATAAGTTTACACATCTTCTGTGTGTAAAATAGCACTCTGCTGTAGTTGGTGGATTTACACATAAGAGAAACACAGGGTTCCCAAATCTATCTGTCTCTTAGTGTCAATGTGGGCACCTCTGCAGAGGAGAATTCATGAACACCTGGTTGTGGTTAAGAGAACGTAATGCAAGAATAACGTGCAAAAAATGTCACCCAGACTGAGGACCAGATAAAGGGTACTTCAGCACTATCCAATGCCCACTATCAGCAGTATGGTGGCTGACAAAATAATACATAAAATGCTTCTCAGACTTTGTTTTGTTTGAAAGGCTAGAACAGATGATGCTATGCAAATACTGTCGTTAACATCACATATCATCATCAGGAGACTGATGCTAGAGATGGTGGTAACATATTAGTTAGGGTGATCCCAGCTTATCTGACATTCTATTCATTATGGATGTTAAAATGGAGCTAGAGGCCAGGATTTTTACTGTTTGTCTGCCATTGCAATAATGCCTTAACTGGACCTAAAGCAAGTTGACATTATATCCTGTTACACAGCTGCATCATAGAGTTTAAATTCATATCTGAACAAACACTCATATGTGGATACATGACATGGGGACATAGCGAAAGCTAAGCCAAACAGAATTTAAGAAAATATATATAGTACTGAAAGACTCAATCTTTGGCTACTGAGACAACAGGTTTGCCATGTTTCATTTCTGTATAACAATTTCTGGTGCTGTATTCATCTGCTTGTGAAAAGATGAGTGTGAAATTCACCTTCTGTCATCTTCAGAATACTGTGTTCTCTCATGAAGGCAATGAAGAAAACCACCAGCGTATGCTTAGGATGGATTTGCGGCATGGAGACTGCCAAACATAACAGAACTAAGACAGCAGTATCACCAAGCAAGTTCATGGACTAGGGAAGAGCTCCTTTGGGATGGGAACTCTTAAGACAGAACCCAGCCACCTTAAAAGGGCCCTGGCTGGGTCATAGATCTGAGGCATACATCTGAAAAACACCCAAAGTATAGCATTTCTGAATTTATTCTCACTCACATGGACTACTACCTTCCAGTGTGTGGGAATGTGAATGTATCTGTCCATACCTGTGGCCCGAAAGAATGGACTCCTGCTTGAAAAGCTCGTAACTGCACAACTAATTCATTAAGTTGATAGTTCCTTGCTAAGGCGGCACCACACTCTCCTTTTCTTGCGACTACAGTCCAACTCAGCTATTTTTCAAATATGCTGATACGCATAGGCTGTTTCTCTTCACAGGGGATAAAGGACAGAGCTTCCTTTTTGACACAAAGAAATATCTAAGTGGCTGTCCGCTGCCACTACACATCTAAGAAAGCCAAAGGACTCCAAACTTCGCTGCTAAGGGACAATGGCTGCAATCCTAACCCCATTTACCTGGGAGAAAAACACCCCACCCATAGTTATAGGACTTATTTCTGAGAACAAATGGTTAGGATTGTGCTGCAAGCTGGGAATCAGAAAGTTCTCCAATTCTAACCTTACCTCTGCCAAAAACTCACCATCAGGCAAACCACCCTCGTTTCAGCAGTATTGATTTACCCGGTAGGGACTGCAATTAGAGCGTTTCTGTGGGGCATTCGGAATGTTCTAAAACTGCTGTGCAAATGCCGGGGCTTTTTCAGAGTTCCGGAGAAGGCGCTTTGGTGGCAATTTCCGTTTCATACACCTGTCCAAGGCGACCAGCTCTCTCTTGTGAACCTGTTACGGAGCGAGTCTCGCTCTCCCCTCTTGCATCATCGGGCTCCCTTCTAGCCCTTACAAGGGGGGCGGGGAGGGGGTCAAGCGCAGGAGAGATCGGGGCCGGGGAAAACCCCCCGCGGGCCAGAGGAAGCCGCGAGCGAGCGCGCGCCCCGCAGTCTGGCGCGCGCCCAGCCGAGCACGCAGGTGCTCCGGCGAAAAGTGAGCTCCGCCGCGTCGCCGCCAGCGGGTCTCCTCCGAGCTCTCGGTCGGCTCGCGCTCCTCGCACCCCGCGTGCTGCCGGCTGGTGTTCGGCAAAAACCAAAGCCGGCTCTTCGCTCCACCCCAAGTCGCACCTTCTTCCCTCACAGCCCAGCCCTCCTGTTCCGCCTCATGCTGCCCTTAGTGGTATTTGGGGAGGGGGGTGAGGTTCAGGGAGTTGTTAATGTCTCCGTAACGCATCCTAACTGCCAGCCTTCACCTCCCCTTCGCCGTGTGTCGGGCACACCGAGACCAGCCTAGTTCCCCGCTCCCGCTAGCTGGGGCGAACTTCGCCCAGTTCCCTGCCCGGCAAGCCCTTACCTGGGGCAGCAAGCAAGAGGCGCGTCCCGTCCCGCGTGTCGGGCTCCGGCGAGCTGAGGGGCCGCGCGGCTCCTTCTGTGCCATCGGCTCCCGAGGCGGCCGGACTCGCGCAAGAAGCGAAGCGGCTGCTGGTGTGTGGCGCGCCAGGTAGGCGAAAGCGAGCCGGACGCGTCGGCAGCGAGAGCCCCTGTGCCCGGCTGGCGGGGGGGGGGGCGGGCGAGCTCATCCCGGAGGGGCGGGACCAGGCGGGCGGCGGGGGAGGAGACGGAGGAGGCGCTCGGGGGCCGGCGAGCGAGCGCCCGCTGCTGCCCGCCCGCCTCGTCCGGCTCCCGGCGCCGGCTGCTCCTCGCGGGGTGGGGCGCCGCTTCCGGAAGAGGCCGCGGAGGGGCGGGAGGGGCCGGGGGAGATCTCGAGCGGCCCCTCCCGCTGGGACGGGCTGAGGTGAAGCCTCTCCTCCTTCGGCGTAAACCCCAAGGCGGGCTCCCGGCTCCAGGCCTGGTTCGCTCTAGAGAAGCGTCCTTCAGCCGTGTGTAGAGCGCGGCTCCTTCTCGCCCCCTCAGAGCCGGGTCCGCCCAGCCACGGGTGCGGGACAAGAATCCCCGAAGAAGCCTTGGCAGGAACGGAGAAGCAGCTGAAGGCTCCCTTAGCTGGCGCTTCCATGGCAGCTGTGCCACCTCAGCTCCCCTTAGTTCAGACCTAGCTCTCCTCAGGGCATCCTCAGGGCCTTTTGACCGCTTCAGTCACTTGTATCCGTGTCCTCCTGGCTTGTAAGAGGAGAGAAGAGGACCAGCTGCATCAAGGAGACTCTTAGTCCCTCTTGAACAGATCAAATGTTCCCCAGCCACATGAAAGAGGTGGCGGGGACACCATTTCCCTTAAAAGAAGCCCTCTTTGGATGGGGACAATCTTTAAAATTCTAGGCTCCTCCTGGGCAAGGTTCTGGAGGAGCCAATCAGATCCAAATGCTCTTGGATGAAGCTGATATTCTGGATCAGTTACAGGTCGGATTCAGACCTGCCCACAAGCGGTGGTGCTGGGGGCCTGTTGGTCAGCCTCATGGAGCCCTGAGTCTGGAGTTCTGCAGAGTTCATGAAACCACTGAGTGGGGGCACCCACAGTTTTGAAGTGCGTTGTCACTAGTATGCTGAGAACATACAACTCTCTCCTTTTCATTGTAAGTAGGTTTGGCATAGGATGTGCTGAGCCATGAGCTGCAGACAAGAACAAACCTTAAGGAGAGAGCTTATCCATGAGCCTGAATTCAGATGACACACTAAGCCAATCCTTGGCGTAGCTGCGCAGCGCAGGGGTGGAAATGACATGGTGGTGGAGGAAAGCAAAAGAGTTACAAGCTAATCTCCTGCAGGGGTCAGCAAACTTTTTCAGCAGGGGCCTGGTCACTGTCCCTCAGACCTTGTGTGGGGCTGGACTATATTTTGAAGGGGGGAAAATGAACGAATTCCTATGCCTCACAAATAACCCAGAGATACATTTTAAATAAAAGGACACATTCTACTCCTGTAAAAACATGCTGGTTCCCGGACCCTCCACGGGCTGGATTTAGAAGGCGATTGGGCCGGATCCGGCCCCCGGGCCTTAGTTTACCTATCCATGTTCTGGAGCCTATGTATTTGTATGGTCCCAGTAAGCCATAGTTTGAATTACCAGGTCTGTTGAATAGCATTCCTTGTCAGTTAAGCCATCATGTGAAAGCCACATACTAGCATCTGTTTAGGCTCAGATCCATTTTTGGAAGCTATGCTTTCTGCCATCAGGAATATCAGCAGCTCTTATTCCTACTGAATCCAGGTGGCCAACAAGGCAAGAGTGGACTGCACTCAGTTAAAGTATATTTTAAAAGTTGCTTCTTTTGCACCTATTGAGACTCAATACATTGTTATTATTTTCTATCCATAGCAACTGTTGTAAATTTGCAGACCTAAACATGCTTATCTGGAAAAGATTTCAGCTGAAAACAGTATGTTCTCCTTTTTATAACAAATGTGTTTAGGATTGAGGTGCAAAGGAGGAAAGTATGATGAATAAAACCTGGCAAGCAGTTAAGGGTGGCAGCATCAACAAATATCCAGAGACAGTTGTTATTTTTCCAAATCTGGGTTTGCTTCAATTATACAGCATTTAAAAATGGCATGTTCCTGAACTATATTTGTTCCATTTCCTGACAATTTAGTTTTAGGTACAACTGAGGAAAGTGTCCAGTTCACGATTTCTCTTCAACTGTTTTGTTGAAACTGACTGAAATTTATGTCTGCCAAGTGTGTTTTCGTGATAGAACTCCTTGATGTGAATCTTGAGTTGTCTTGAAAACAAGGGCAAACTTTGTGGTTTTAGAGAAGAGATTTGGGCCTACAACCTTATAACAAAAAATATGTAATATTTTACCCAAATTTAGGTTATTGAAAACATGCCACACATACATTTTTGTGCAAAATTTTTAAAATTCAAGCTTAATAGAAACAAAACTAGTGGGAAAATTTTCCTTTTGGTGCTGAATAAAAAATTTGCTGATTACAACTAGAGTAAAAGTATTATAACTGAGAAGAAAAGATCTCTGTCTTGTTTACCCTATCAGTTTGAAAAAGCAGTATCAGTAAGTGTAGACCCATTTTGTATGCGTATCCACATAGACCTTTTAAGATCACTTAGATTAGGGATAGGGACCCTCATCTAACCAGGAGCCCAGATATTTATCTCCTCTATGCAGATTGGGCCCAGATTTGGTCCAGATTTGATAGATGAGGCCTCACACCTGTCAATCACCCGGCATCACATTGATGTCAGGTGATGATCATTGGGACATTGGGCACTATGTAGGGCTTGCAAAGAGCCATGTGTGTCACTTTGAAGCACCATACTGCTTAATAAAGCTTTAAAATATTAAGTGAAGTAGGAATATTTCTAAACAAATAAAGATTCTGATTAGATTCAATCTGCATCATATCACGTATTCTTCATGGTGTTAACATTAATAATGAATGAACATCAACTTTTGGACAATATGAAGGATTTTTATAAAACAATACCCTTTGGAATTTCTTCTTTGGGTTCCAAATTACCTGATATTGTTCCAACACTGCACATTTCTGATTTTTATTTCTGGTTTTCAGCTAACCTGCTGCTCTTATACTGTTTGCCACCTGCATTTCTTTCAGCTTGCATTCCTCTGCCCTCAAGGCATTACTGATGTATTCTAATAGATGTGCACATTGAGTAAATCACAGTGTAAAATGGAAGCCTCGTGCCATCACATCAAGATTTAATTTTGCACTGCTTTATACAATGCACATATGTGCTGTTACATACAGGTACCTTTTTAGTTTTGTGAAATCAAATGTAGAAGCCTTCATGAGTTCTACTGTCAGCACACATTGGGTTCATCATGGCTCTCTCCTTCTTTCACGCCCCACCCAAATTCCACTCACACATTTACTCATCAATTACACAAGACGTCAGCTGAAAACTCTGGAAAACAGGTTTTTATTAAACAGCCACCGCCGCCACCCCATTCCACATGGAAAACTAATTCTGAAATTGATAGGAATTTTAACAGCAGATTAAAATGTGGCATCAAGGTGGTCCACTGTTTGTTTTTATTTTTTAATAAAACATTCTTCTAGGAAAAACCTGAAACAGCTCTTTAGGTACTTACCATAACACGTAGTGACACATAACAGACACATAAACAAATCCCTGTATCACAATTAATTATATAAATAAAAGATTAATCAGTAATTATCCTGATACTTACTTTCAATTCAGTAATCATTTGAGGTAGTTTAAGGGAAAAGATGTGCGGAGTTGCTGAACTGAATCAAGTGAACAAGAAATGAATTATTATTGTTGTAGTTGTTATAGCACAGGAATGTAGTGTTGTTCCTATATTTGCAGCATAAGTAAAATGATTTATACGTAGTCAACAAATTACATGGCAGACAAAGGTCATGAGAGATAGATCAGTGCAATAATACAAAAGTCTAAAAAGTTTACCCCTGTATGATAACAGGAGTACTAGGATACATAAGGAGATGTTGGCAGTGTTCTTTCCAGCGCAGTGCAATAGCTTCTTTATCTTTCAGAAGTGTGGTACCATCTGCTGAGCGTAGGGGGCATATGCCATGATTTGACCCATAGATGGTCCGCAAAAACAAGTTAGAGATGAGCTTGCATTATCTCCAAATCTGGGAGAGTTGTGTACAGCTGTTAACCAAATGAAAAACAACAAAGCCAGTGGACCTGATGGAATACCTGCCGAAATCTTCAAAGTGGGTGGAACTGAACTTACACAACAACTTCACAAGTTCATTGAAAAAATCTGGGAAAGAGAAGTGATCCCAGCAGACTTTAGGGATGCCAAAATTATCAATCTCTTTTTAAAAAAGGTGACAGAACTGATTACAGAAACTATCAAGGCATCTCTCTATTAGCTGCGGCCGGCAAAATTCTTGCAAGGATCTTCGCAAACCATCTCTTAACAATATCCGAGGTGACCCTTCCTGAATACCAAAATGGTTTTCAGCCTTCTAGGGAGACAGTGGACATGATTTTCACCGCTCGACAGCTTCAGGAAAAATGCAGAAAGCAAAACCAGCCCCTGTATATGGCGTTTATCGACCTGACTAAGGCTTTCGACACTGTAAATCGTAATGCCCTGTGGACTGTCCTTCTGAAAATTGGCTGCCCAGATAAATTTGTAAACATCATTCGGCTCCTCCATGATAATATGACAGCAACCATCGCAGATAACAGTGGCTCTCAAAGTGAACCATTCACAGTGGGATCAGGTGTTAAACAGGGTTGTGTTATTGCCCCAACTCTATTCATTATTTTCATTGTCTTGATCCTATACTTTGTTGAAGGAAAACTTCCCACTGGGATAGAAATCATATATCAAACAGATGGAAAGCTCTTCAATCTGAGCAGGCTGAAAGCAAAGAGTAAAGTTACCATAACTTCCGTCATAGAGCTTCAGTATGCTGATGACAATGTAGTGTGTGCATGCTCAGAGGATGACCTCCAAACTATCCTAAATATCTTCACAGAAGCTTATAAAAAACTTGGCCTGTTGCTCAACATCCAAAAAACCAAAGTGCTGCACCAACAAGTACAAAATAACCCCTCTGCAGCACCACAAATCCAACTCAATGGTGTAATGTTGGAAAATGTCAATCACTTCTCCTACCTAGGCAGTTATCTTTCCACAAGGGCCAACATTGATGCTGAAATCAAGCATCTCTTGAGCTCTGCAAGTGTGGCTATCTCCCGATTGAAGTGCAGAGTGTTTGAGGACCGGGACATTCGCAGGGAATCCAAAATGCTTGTTTACAAAGCTATTGTACTACCAACCTTACTGTATGCTTGTGAAATATGGACCACTTACAAACACCATCTCCAACTTCTCAAAAGATTCCATCAACGGTATTTCCGAAAATCTTACACATCACTTGGGAAGACAGGCGAATTAATATCAGTGTACTGGATGAAGCAAAGATCACCAGTGTTGAAGCAATGATTCTTCAACATCAACTTCGTTGGACTGGTCATGTTGTGCAGATGCCTGATTATCTTCTTCCAAAGAGCTACTCTATTCCAAACTTAAAAATGGAAAGCGTAATGCTGGTGGTCAACAAAAGAGGTTTAAAGACCATCTCAAGCCAAATCTTTAAAAATATAGTATAAACACTGACGACTGGGAAACAGTGGCCTGTGAGTGCTCCAGTTGGAGAACAGCCTTTACCAAAGGTGTCATGGACTTTGAAGACACTCAAACTCAGAACACAAGGGAGAAATGTGCAAAGAGGAAGGCACGCTTGGCAAATCCACACCATGATCAACTCCTGCCCAGGAACCAATGTCGCCACTGTGGAAAGATGTGTGGGTCCATAACTGGCCTCCACAGTCACTTACGGACTCATTGTTAAAACCGTGTTTATGGAAGACAATCTTACTTGACTACGAGTGATCACAGAAGAAGAAGAAGAAGAAGAAGACGACGAAGACTAGGATACATAATAAGGAAAAGCTTTAATTCAGCTTAAATCTCTATTTTTTTGCAGGAGTTTGCAGCAATTTTATCTAAGGAATGCATGCAGGCATTAGTATTACTCAAGAGAAAACAAACAATTCCTGCAAGTTTAAGAATACTCCCACTGCTTTACATTAGTAAACAAAAAACTGGAATATGAGAAAATGTCAAATGCAAATAGGATTGCCATTGAATTTGTTTTATTCCTTCTCATTTAAATTTTAAAAAGATGAGAGAAAGTTATACAGCCAATACGGCACAATTTCATTTTGCAATAATAATAATAATAATTGCAAAGGCAAAAATTACTAGCCTCATAATACTTTGCATAATTAACTTAATCAATGCCATTCAGTTGAATGTCCTTGGACGTTTCCCTGCAGTTGCAAATCCTTGCATTATCAAGCTTCCTGATTGTTTGAAGGCTTGTAAATTCATTCAGCTGAATGTGCTAACAAGCACCCCTTAGGTTTTCCTCCTCGGTGCAACAAGGTCCAAAGTCGAGGAGTGTTGGAGATGGGGGCATCAAATGTGCCTGAGTGTCCCATGTCTTCATGTACTCACATGCTCTTTGAACATCTGAACAGGGCTAGTATCTGATTTGTTTGCTTTTTTAGTATTTGACACAAGCAGTTCAAGCTTCCACAGTTAGCTGAGAAGTATCTCTTTATCCTAAGTCACGTGCGTTTGAACTACATTTACAAAACCATATTGGACTCAAGAGATAATTTCTCATCAAGCATTCCACTTCTTGAAGTTAGAATTTGTTTCCAATACCTCTTAGCTTTTTTACATTTTCACCAGCATTCATCACATCCCCCTCCCACTTAAATGGTTTTGCTGTAATTTTAACAGTGCCTGGAGTCATATTAACAGTTTTATTTTAAAGACATAGCAGCTGTATACATGTTTCTCTGTTTCCACATACATTGCCACATTTCTGTTTATGTATCTGTGTGAAAATCTCTCTTCCATTTTGTGATGTATCCTTAATGTTGAATAAAATATAATAGATCTGTGACTACATTGATTTTTAACTATGATTTGTTCTAACTGGACCAGTGGTCTGAGGCTGCCACTTCCTTGTTCAATCCAGTGCTGCAGAAATGGCATCTTTGGGAAGTGCTCTAAAAGAACAATCTGAGGCTGTCCATCTCTTCCTCAACTTCTGTATAGCAGAACACCACTTAGCATCCAGTGTCTACACTAACAAAATTCCTGCTTATTAAAACATGGGAGAGATCTGCCCAGCCTTATTGCAGCAGGGATTTAAAAAAGGAAATTGATTATTTTTCTGAGCTATGTCTCTCCCATACAGTGGTACCTCGGGTTAAGTACTTAATTCATTCCGGAGGTCCGCACTTAACCTGAAACTGTTCTTAACCTGAAGCACCACTTTAGCTAATGGGGCCTCCTGCTGCTGCTGTGCCGCCGGAGCACAATTTCTGTTCTCATCCTGAAGCAAAGTTCTTAACCTGAAGCACTATTTCTGGGTTAGTGGAGTCTGTAACCTGAAGCGTATGTAACCTGAAGTGTATGTAACCCGAGGTACCACTGTATAATCAAAATTACTAGTAGACTCATACTCCCTGTCATCACCTTTTGTCTTCTGTTTTAGAATGAAACTAGAGGAGTGAATCTACTGATAGGAGCATTTTTGCAAACTATCTAGCTGTCCCTTCCTGAACTACTTCAACTCTGTCCTTTATCCAGTTTAATAGCTTTTTGCTAATTTTTTTTATTTTAATATGTTCATATACTGGTAGAAGTGGTGCATCCCCCCCCACTTCCCCCTCAGGAGTTAAGCAGAGAAGGAAATGTGATTTTTTTCTCCAGGCTTGCTATGGTTCTAATAATTATCTCCTCTCTCCCACAAACACAGCAATGCTGTGTGGGTTTTTGAAGATCTTCACATTAAATGCATAGATTCATTTAACTCCACATCTTATTTTGCCTGAACATCAGGATGAGCTTTTTGTCAGTGGAACAGATTCCCATGAGAGGCGGTGGACTCTCCCTCCTTGGAGGTTTTGAAGCAGAGGTTGGATGGCTGTCTGTCTTAGATGATCTACTGTAGTTGAGATTCCTGCATTGCAGGGGGTTGGACTAGATGACCCTCAGGATCCCTTCCAACTCCACACTTTGATGATTCTACAACCACTGAACCACAATACCATTTTAAAAAAAATCTGTACAGTAGAAGAAAAAGGTTGAACAACCAAAAGACTGACTAGGGAAAGCTTTTCTTCATTACGGTACCTTTTATTATGTTTTTATAAATTAATCTGCTCTTCAACCAGAATGTTCCCAGGGCATTTGAGAAGATTTGTTTTTGTTTCAAGATACATCCATACAAAATAAGCAAGTAATCTGACTTTCCAGATGGAGTTAAATAAACTAATGAAATGCAGAAGAAGGAAATAAAATTAGTAGGTAAGTGACCACATTAGGGGAATTAGGTTACTCAGAGAACCAGAAAAGAATGAGGTAGGAAAGAAAGCTCAAAGCCCAATTTAATTGTGTGTGTGTTTAAGTAAGATATTAACAAAGCTAACTGCAGAGAATAATAAACAAGAAGTTACCCTGTTAACTGAGATATGCCCACCTTCACCCGAATATCTTCACAGTGGATATGCAGAACAGTAGGGTGGTTCTAAAACCTTCATATTCAAAGACGTTTTAAAAGGTATTTTGCATAGAATTTGTATGGATGTGCCTCTGGTGCTTTGACTCATGGAATTGGCTGATTGGGTCAAATCAATATGTGAAATTCAACCTCTATCATTTCTCTTTATTAGTCTTCTCTTTTCTCTGCTCTATTCCTTAAGCTTCCTCCTTCACTGCTTTTTCATTGAGTTCCAAATTCCTTGCTCTGAATTCCTTGTTCCATAGCTTTCCTTCTTCCTGGTCCACAGCCTGCCTTGCAGAGCTGCTGTCTATTGCTTCCTTGGGAAGTTTTAATCCCAGCTAAACTGACAACATCCCCTTCCACAACATCAAGGATAGCTAACTTGTGGTCTTCCAGATGTTGGTGGACTACTGCTTCCATCATCCCTCACCATTGCTGGCTGGAGCTGTTGGGAGTTCACCAACATCTGGAGGACCACAGATTAGCCACATTGGGCATCAGAGAAGCTCAGCTGCCTGATGGCTTTGCACCCTGAGCACTTTAATTTCTGTGAACTTTTCAGGTCAGCAGCATCTCAAATTTCAGTGGTGCACTATGTGACGCCAAAATTCACCCCCCCCTTGCCTTCTCCTGGATGTCATAGTTGTGGCGGCTCAGAAGCTCTGTGCCCAGTGTGACTGCAGCAGTTGCGTTCCCTAGATCTGCCTTTGTTCAGGTCATCACAGCAGCTCAGCCAATGAGTGTCAGAGGCTTCACTGACCAAGTCATGATACAATGTTGATGTTGTTGTTCTAAATAGGTGTAGCTAGTTTGCACTTTTTCCAAAATGTTAATTAAAAAAAATGAATTCAATGAAAAGAAGAAAGGAAACTTACTGCACTTTTCTTTAAGCATGGAAAGTGTACCAGGTTATTGAGTCAACAAAGGCCTGAAAATGACATTCCACGTTGAGGTCTCACAAGGGTGCCAACTTGAATAAAATACTGAGGGGTGTGTGTAAGTAAGGCCCGCCCTGCACAATCAATCAAAATATGTGGCGCATGCACACCATTTGAATAGCAATGGCCATCAACTTTTGGGGGAGCATGGTCCCCTCAAATATTTTTTGGGGGGGGCTGAAGGGACCTCAGCCCTTTGGAGTTGGCTCCTGTGAGATCTCATCTTTTGCAACAGAAGAAGTATAGTAATGCTGCTTCTATGTTGTGATAACATGGAGTTGTGTGTTCTTCCCTTCCCAAGCTCCATACGGTTGGTAATCACATAACATCACAACACATTACTGTAGGTGCATTTAGCAAGACAATTACTGAAGGGGCAAACCAAATACATATATAGGGGATACCTTACATCATACAAAAAGGAAGTGGAATGCAAGAGAGGCAGGGCATCTGTGACTTAATATGCTACTACTGCTCATATTGTAGAACAAAGTATTTAACAATGGTCAGGAATCTATTTTCTCATCTGTAAGAAGTTGTTGTTGTTGTATAGCTGGTTCTTAATTTTGACTTTTTGCAGGCCATTTTCCCTCATACAAGGGATACGGGTGGCGCTGTGGTCTAAACCACTGAGCCTCTTGGGCTTGCTGATCAGAAGGTCGGTAGTTCGAATCCCTGTGACGGAGTGAGCTCCCGTTGCTCAGTCCCTACTCCTGCCAACCTAGCAGTTCAAAAGCACGTCAGTGCAAGTAGATAAATAGGTACAGCTCCGGCGGGAAGATAAACAGCATTTCCATGCGCTGCTCTGGTTTCGCCAGAAGCAGCTTAGTCATGCTGGCCACATGACCCATAAAAATTGTCTGTGGATGAACATCGGCTCCCTCAGCCAGTAAAGCGGGATAAGTGCCACAACCTCAGAGTCGTTCGCGACTGGACTTAACTGTCAGGGGTCCTTTACCTTTACCTTTACCTTCTCTAATACAATGTATTCCTGTATGCTATTTTGACTAACATATGCATTTATATCAACAATGCACACTAGTATATACATTTTTGTGCACATTACTTTGTTGCAGAACAGCGTTGGAAAATTCAGATTGTTTCAGGTTAGGTATATCCATTATTTTACTGTGAACTTAATAAAATCTCTTCTCTACCAGTACTCAAACCATAAACTGATGGCTTTTACAAATGCCTGCACACGTTTGACCCACAAAACTTTACACAGCCCAACCAATCAGATATGTACAGTGGTACCTTGGTTCTCAAACTTAATCCGTTCCAGAAGTCCGTTCCAAAACCAAAGTGTTCCAAAACTAAGGCGCACTTTCCCACAGAAAGGAATTTAAAATGGATTAATCCGTTCCAGACTTTTAAAACCAACCCCTAAAACAGCAATTTAACATGAATTTTACTATCTAACGATACCATTGAGTCATAAAATGAAAGCAATAATCAATGTACTGTACTATAAAATAAATAAGACAGTATTGTAGATGATAAAAATTAAAAGTAATTTTTTTTTCTTACCTGCACTGATGATAGTCATTGTTTGGATGGGGGGCTTTTATCCATTTCTGCAGTTAGACAATCAATCCATCAGTAGCTGAACTGGGTTCCACACAGTCACAAAAACAAATTAACCGAAAAAGTCTCAAAAACAAAAATGCAGAATCAATAGCAAAAACAAAAGCCCCAAACTTAATCCATTCCGGAAGTCCGTTTGACTTCTGAAATGTTCGAAAACCAAGGCGCAGCTTCTGATTCGTGCAGGTGCCCCGGAAACAGCAACTAACAACTGCATTGGACATTCGGCTTTTGAAAAACGTTCGGAAACCAGAACCCTTACTTCTGAGTTTTTGGTGTTTGGGAACCAAGGCGTTTTCTCAAACCAAGGTACCACTGTATTTTCAGTCTGCCTGGTCCTTGATGATACCTTTAATGTTGCAGTTTTCAGGCAGGCAGCGAAACTAAAGGCCTATGAATGCTCTGGAAGGTGACATATGTGGCTGTGATCATTCTGATGGGTCATACATTATGCAGGCCTTTTATATGTCTTAATACCAGCACTAAGTTAAGATAACAAGTTGTATTGCAGTTAATACGGTTTTCAGAAAGTTAGTGGGTTGCAGTGAATCCACACTTGGACTGGAGTTACCTGCATTCAAAATCTTCACTTAAACCATAAAACCTGGGCCAGTAATTCAGTTTAATTGGCCTCCCAGGCTTGTTGCAAAGATAAAATGGGATAAAGCACTGTAGTTACTTGTGGGGAAATAAAGGATGTAATTTACTGAGGCACTTGCAAAGGTGAGAACGCCAGCTTAATGTAATATAATAATAGGGTAATAAGAGTCTGTGAAGATCCCACGTGCTGTAAGTATATCATTGGCAACACTGGGTCCCCTCAGCCCAAGGACTGAGGGATTTCAAAACCTTTGTAAGAGAATTCACAGGCAATTATATGGTCCCTTTTATCACTACCACTAGAAAGCCCATAGTAAATTATCTACAAATGATGTATTTTTATGAGCACCAAAGAGCAGCAGTTGTGTAAATTCAAACAATAGCTGCTTCAAGCAGACTTGCTTCATATTTTGTTATCTGCAATTATCTATAATTTTATATCCTTATTTTGCTTGTTGCAGAGAATAAAAAGCAAACCTCATATCAGTTTGCAACAGTGTAGAGCTTTGAGGAAAACGGTTGCTTCTTATATGCTGTTGACTTTGCCTGTTTCAAGCATGGATTCTTAACCTTCCATTCCACAGACTGACGCCACGTTCTGTCCCAATTGCAGTCTGCTATGTCTTCTCCATGGGCGTGGGACTAGATCGTGATGTTCTGCAAGTATTTACGTGTCTGGTGTTTATTTTATTTATTTCATAAAATTTATATACTGCTTGATTGTAAAAGGAAACCACAAAGTGTTTGATCTGAGGGTTTAGCATAGTTTCCCCCACTGCATAGACCTTCCAAGTAGGATGTCAGTCTTTTGTTCCCAAATACCTACTATTGAGTTCCATGACATTGAGATCTAGATTTTCCTAGTTTATTTTATTTTGAATGCTTATAATGGAAGTTTGAGACTATAATTGGAATAGATATGTTCACCTAATATCGAAGAAGGTAGTGATATTTTACTTTGCCATGCTTTATCCATGGGTCTAAATTGCACTCTTTTCATTTTCAGATGACTTCATAAAAGGGTAGGACAGTTTCAAACAAAAAATAATCAGTTAGTTTAGCCTGCAATCCTATACACTGGAGTAAGCTCCACTGAACTTAGTGTGTCTTAATTCTGGGTAGACATGCACAGATTGCACTGTGTTATGAGCAAAGAAAGGTGTGGTTATAAGGTGAACTTGGAATGTGCAGAAATTCTACTCTCTTTAGAAACTGCTAATCATAACTTCTTACAAACACCTTCCCTTCCAATTTCTTAGAGAGGAGTATTCACTTCACATCACTTCATTCCAAGCAAAATGTCATTAATATTTCTGAATGGGGCTTGAACTCCTTGTGTGCAGCCAAACAAACAAAACAGCTAGGGTGAAATCCTTGGAAATGAGCCAATTGTATCCCATTGAGCTGAATTTAATCATGTCAGTTACACTACACTTGGGGTCACTTGAACTGTAGATTACAGGTAGAAATTGAGTTTACTTTTTAAAGTATATTTCAAGGAGACAACCCTTTATATAGCTGCAACTCCTTTTTACCATATCAAGATTCTGTTGTTGTTTTTTAATGAGGGCAAATCTACTGCTGAAGCTCATTAAAAGTGTTTCAGAATGTTACAAATAATAATAAACAAACTTTTTAAAAAAAAAAAATGAGGTGCAGACTTTGTGGCTAAAAAGGCAAAAGCTGTTGCTCCTGGGGACTATGCTCTTGTTTGCAAGGATGCTGAGCGAGACCAGCCTGCCTCCCTTGCGGCTGAAATTATGAATGTTTCTACTGCTTGGGATTGCTCTGTTGCACTCAGGACTCGCCCACACTTCCTTTGGGAATCAGAACCAACATCAATTGTTTTTTCTGCAGATTGACGTTTGTTCAATTGTAAAGAGTGGGTTTTCCTGGGGGAAGCGACAGGACAAACAAAGCACTGCCTAGGAAGCACTGGGCAGCAGAAAAGCTCTTGGGCTCCTGCTTTCCAGGTACAGGACAAGGGGAAGTGTGGCAGAGCCGTCAGTGAGAAGGCCTCTCCCCAGAGGAGTTGTGTCAGCTGGCGCTAGTCTGGTGCTCAGCAGCCATTTCTCATACATTTTTCATGAATTAGTAAAGATTTGCACGATATTGCACCCATTATTTACAGAATTGTTCGTTTTTACTTTATTGATATGCTACTGTGTTTTCTTTTTTCTTTTAAATTTATTTTTATGAAAGATTTTCTTGGTTTACAAAAGTACATGCCTTGTCTCTTTTTTCCAGGTTGTACAGTCTTTCTTATAAATCAGTTACATTTGTTGTGAGACACTAGTGTTGAGTACAGTATAAGGTTGGGGAAGAAGAGGGGGGAGATGAGGGGTGGTGTTGTGAGGCTTATATTCTTTAGTATAGTGTACGTGTGGGATTCTGTGTCGGCGTCAACTGGGTAGGTTCTCTTTCTATTCGTTTATTACATTTCCTTGATAGTGAGAGGTATTGTGGGGCAGGATGTGGTTGGTTGTCTGTGGCTGGCTGCAGTGGGGTTTGTTTGCATTTGTGAGATGGGGAGAGCTTGTTAGGTCACTTAAGCCAGATTGATTCATATGCTGTCAGTGGATTCTTGTTGTTGTCTTGTTTGGCTGTGTATGTGATAAAGGGGAGCCATACTGGGGTGAAGGAGTCCTTTTCTATTTGTCCCCGTGTCAGTTTCAGTTTGTTGGTTAGCTTTCTAGTAAGGCCATTTCCCATACAAGTTGATACCATTGGTCCATGTTTACTCCTGAGGGGTCTTTCCAGTGTCTGGCTATGAGGCTTATGGCTGCTGAGAGCAGGTGGGTTATAAGCTCTGTATAATGTGAGTGGTCATTACGATCTTGGAAGATGTTCAGTAGAGTCAGTTCTGGGGTGAGCTCTAATACCTGTTTAGTTATTTTGCATATCTCTTGTAGGACTGCTGTCCAGAAGGGTTGGATTTTAGGGCACCCCCACCACATGTGGAGGTATGTGCCTGTGGAGGTACAGCCTCTCCAACATCTTGGTGAGGTTCCTGGGCATATCAGCGCCAGTTTCTGTGGTGTTAAGTATCACCTGTAGGTGAGTTTAAGAGTGAGTTCCCTTAATTTAGCTGATACGGACTTAAAGGGAGGTTTAGATAATATTCTAGTCCATGGGGTGGGGTTAATTTCATAGCCTATTTCATGCTCCCATTGTTCTTTGATTGCGTCAAAGGGGTTGTGGAATTTTGGAGCAGTATTTTGTATGGATACCATTCCCTTGCCGTGTCCCTCTGCTGTCAGTACAAGGTTTTCGAAGGTGGTCAAGTGCCTAGTGGATGCTGATTTTACTGCTGGATTGTTTAAGAAGGCATGTAGTTGATGGTGTGTTAGCCAAGGTATTTGGGTGTTCCCTAGCTTGTTTTGTATTTCTTGTGTTGGTATGGGCTTGTTGATTTTGTAGAAGTCTTTTAGACAGTGTAGGCCTTTGGCTTGCCAGGTTTTTATCTGGAGGTTTTGTGCTGTGTGTCGGAATAGTGGGATGGGGATAGTTTGCCTACTTTTCCCCTGTGTGAACCTGTTCAGTGTTATGGGGATTTTCTTTCGTTTGTTTTGGAGAAATGGGTATGTTGTTGTGGGGATGTTTTCAGTGATGTCTCTCTCTAAGTGACCCATTGTTTTGTCACGTCTTCTAGGATATTATGCGGCATACTTGGTTGGCGATGTAATATGATTCTATGTTGGGGATTCTCCACCCCCCTTATGAGGAGGCGAGGCGCAGGTATTTGGGGCTTATTCTTGGCTTTTTGTGTGAGAAATTAAATGAGCGTAGTTTTCTCTGCCACTTCTGGAGTTGGGTTGGGGGAATCCAGATTGAGAGAGTTTGAAATAAATAGGTTAGTTTTGGGAGGGTGATCATTTTGATCATGGCTATTTTGTTTTCTGATACAATTATGTGGATGGAAATGTTCACTAATTTTTAATGCTCCATTATTGCTGTGAGCTGCATTGAACTCAGCTTTGTCACTGGAAAAGCAACATGAAAATATTAAATCCAACTCAAGGGTGGAGTTCATATTTTTGATTTGATTAGTTTTTATATACACCAATTAGAGAGACATTTCTTATGCATTATAGAAATAGTCATACACACACATACACATATACATATACATACACATACATATATTTAAAATCAAGATTTGAGCCCTAGGTTTAAGGCCTTTCTTGCAGATGTAATTCAATTTCATGCAGTGTATTGGAAAAAAGACCTAACAGCTATGAATAATTGTCTGAACTGTGGTGTTCTTGGCCTCTTGTTTAATATTCATTTTCAAGGCGCACACCTTCTGAGGCGGGCATATGCCAACAACAACAAATGTATATCAGCAGCCTTCTTAATGCCACCTCCACTCCAGAGCAATAGTCTTCTACATTGTATGACACAGTATATGTGGGTGGGAACCCAGTTTTAAATGGGTGACAACCTAGCAGACATCCCAGGTGGAATTTTATATAATACAATATGAATTGTCCTATATTTAAAGAGGCTTTAGAGAGATTTGACATTGAAAACCAACTCATCCTCCCACAATAACGAATAGGGCATCTTCCAAAGCATTCATGTTGGTAATGACTCAGAAGTACACGCACTTGAGAAATAGTCTGTTTGTTTTCCCATTAAAATGACTGATTTTAATATCCTGAGTTCTTGAATGGGACTTTTTGAAGTATAAAGTGATATTGACAAAAGATTTTTTTTCTTTCTTTCTCAAAGCTTCTTGCATAAAATCCAGAATGCTGTGGCTCTCTGTGTTTGTGTATCCTGTTGAGTGGCAAGCCTTTGTTATCTCTTCTCTTTTTATCTTGAGGTCAAAACAATGATGTTATACATCACGGCAGCAGCCCTACCTTCATTTCCTGAACATCTTTGCTCAGGGCATGTGTCAAAAAGAGAAAATTGTCTTGCAGCTGTCTATTATAGAATGAGTGCTCTGAAGAGTATTTATTTATACCATCTATGCTAAGAAATTGTGATGTGGAAGAGAAGAGAAACAGCAGCTTTTCTTCTTCTTTACTCTGTCCAAAACTTGAGCTGCATGTTAGCAAACTGTCACCGTGAATTTGTTCTCTGCTTCATTCCAAAGTCTGAGAAATAAGAGCAGTCATTAGTGGAAACTACCATATTTTTCCGTGTATAACACGCCCGCATGTATAAGACGATGGCTTTTTTTTTTTTGGACCGCAACAAAAGTTTTGCCTATTATTTCAAGGGAAAATATATTGTCTTATACATGGAAAAATATGGTATGTGGATATATTTGGGCCAACAACTGATGTAACTAAATTGATGAGGGAGAAGGTGCTTTTCACAAATGGCTAGTTCAGTGGTCCCCCTCAACCTGGGCTTCTTTTTCAGGAGGGGCATGTTCACCTCTCTATCTCCTAATGCAGTCCTTAGAACATGCAAACAAATAGTTACTATACTGCTACAGTTAATAGATCTCCTCTTTTAATTGTTGTCTTGCTTTAATGCGATTGGTTTATTTTGTATTTTAATTATGGATGTTTATAGTTTAACGTTTGTGTTGTTGGTAGTTATCCTTGTAAACTGCTTAGAAGCATAGTTTGGCATTAAATGATATAGAAATGTAAAAATAAATATCACTGTTGCTATCTCAACTGTCTCATCTACTTGCTGCTGGCTGTGGGAGATCAAATGTCAGTTGCACCACAGAATATGGGACAAGAGGTAAACATTTGCAAGTGGGGAACCCCCCCCCCCATATATTTGGAGCTGAGCTGGAGCCATATGTCTGAAGCAACTACATCCCAGTTCGTGTTCCTGGTGCCAGAAGTAGTTTTACCAGCTTTTCTTTGTATTCTTCCTTCTGGGTTGCTGGTGCATTTCCAATCCCATATTAATGTTTATGGCTCTTTAAAGCTTTAAATGGTTTGTGACATATTTATTTGAAGGACTGTCTGCAACCATGGCAGCCTGTCCTCAAGATCAAAAGACTCTCCGGTCTCTCCTCTGAGTCTCTTTTATGATCCTTTTGCTTCAGGGTTCAACAGTCAGAGAACAAGCAACAACATTTCTTCATACAGTACAGTCTCATCTTACACAGGGGTTCAGTTCCAGGGGTTCCACCTGGAGCCGCCCCACAGCTAGTGGGTGAGTGGGAGGTAGAGAAAATTCTAGTACTCCTAGAACCCATGAGCCAAGCAAGCCTTGTCCCCCAAGCAAGGTGGAGAGCTTAAAAGCTCTCTTTTTTGCACTGTAAGGCCAGGGGTGCTCATTTAATCTTTGTTGGAAGCCGCCCAGAGTGGCTGGGGAAACCCAGCCAGATGGGCAGGGTACAAATAATAAATTATTATTAATATTAATATGATTATTAGATATTGTGGAATCTCAGAGAGTTGGCACTGAGGCTGAATCTTTGTTTCGCTGTCACTGCTCTATTAATAATTGCCATGGCATTGCATTGTATGTTATTGCTTTATGTATGCCTTGAGACAGTATAAAGGTGGTGTACAACTATTTTAAAATAAATAAAAATAAATCCAGAGATTTCTGGTTTACAGCTCAGTCTCCGTTACAGTGCATGCTAACCACATCTACTCAGATGTAAGTCCTACTGAATTCAATGGGGCTTACTCCCAGGTAAGCAAGGTTAGGATTGCAGCTGTAGCCACTGCTATAAGCCAGCTCTGTTTTGGAAGCAGATAAAATATGGAGAGAAAAGATTGCAGAAGAAGTGTAAAAATCTCCCCACTCTCAGCAACTTAAACTGTATTTTCAGTTCACGGATCTCTTTTTTTGAGAGGTTGGTGGGGAGGTGATCTGTGGGTGGGAAACAGATGCATGTACAGTTGTTGTTTTTAATTGAATGTTCCTGATATTTCTGCCCTGGTGGGACTGAAAGAGGTATCAAAAGGGGAGATATTTGAGCTTTCACAAATAAAAATGGCCATGCTTTTTATAACCCTAGGGCACTCACTTTTTATAATCCTAGGGCAATGCACAACGCGCGCGCGCGCGCGCACACACACACACACACACACACACACACTGCTTTATAGGTTTATAAATAACAGGGTGAGAGCTTTGAGAAGTGTATTGTGGCTCCCTGTTTTTTATAAATAATTTGAACAAAGATTAGAGACCACCTGAGAAATTATGGAAATGACTTCACCTGGGAGTGAGGCTCATTGAACTCAGTGAGACTTGCTTCTAAGTAGACATATACAAGTAGGATTGTTCTGTGAATTCCATCCACACCTCTTTCTCGGGTGACTACATGCAAAACAGAGTATGGCCCATGCAACTAAAAAAGATAAAACAAAAAAAGATTAACCCCCCCAAAAAATTACAGCCATGATTTGAGACATACAGGAGGTTAAAACCACAATAAAATAGGCTAAACAACTTAAAACACAAACTTTCTAAACATCTGGGTAGGCTTGCCTAGAGTATTTCTTCAGCAGGCACTGAAAAGAATACAGCCAAGGTACCTGTCTGATATCAATAGGCGGGGAGTTCTACTTCTTCCAGAAGTGTTTGGCATCTCCTCAGTGTGACCAACTCCTCTCCCACCAATTGCACAGCTTTGTGACTGATAGTGGACCGCTGCTCCCCTTCTCTTCATCTACCCTGATGAAGAGTTCTAGGCAACTTGAAAGTTTACCCACTATTTTGTCGCACTTTGGTGGGCCTAATCCAGGTATTGCCTTAATATGGAGCTCAGAGTCGATACAGCTACCTTGCTTTTTGCGTGGCTTTGAAAATACAGAATTTAGATGCACAACAGTGGGATCCTAAGCTGGAGGAGGGGGATCTTATACTACCTGAAGAAAGGACTTTATTCTCTGAGGGAACATGTCATTGAATTGATAAATAAAGCCGCCCATTGGGCTCCTATTGATTTTGTTTTAAACCTAGTGTACCGCCCAAAATGAAACTTTACCTCTATGTAATGACTGCATAGTATTTTCTTTCTTTCCTTTCTGCACCCACCTGCGGAACCAGTGTGTCTTGTCTAAGAACAGAGACAGAAGTGCGTAACAGCTTGTGGTTGCATTTGTAGAGCTCAGGGATCAATCGTTATGTGTCTTCTTCCCAGAAAGTCTGGATGTAACCTGAAACCTGAAAAACACCTGAAAAAGCCTTTGAAAGTCTGCTACTTTCTCCCACACTTCCTCTTAAGACTCTTCCCAGATGCAGACTCAGGTGGCGTCAACAAAAGCCACTTTCTCCCTCCTCCCTGCCTTCATGTTTTCTTTTCTCCTGCCATCCAGGCTTCATAAGAGTTCTAGACAACTCACATGCTTGCATACCATATTGTGTGCCTAAATAACGGTAATGTATTTTGGAACTCAGTCATATGGATGAAGTCATACAAATGCCAAATGAAATCCCCCTCTGTGGCCTGTTCCTGAACAAAGTCCCCTGTGGAATACCTTCTGTCATAGAAAGGGATGGGAGGAGAGAGAGCGGCAGGTGGTAGTGGCTAACATCCATTCCGTCCTCTGCCTGAAAAAGTAAGAGCTGTTCGACAGTGGAATTTGCTGCCAAGGAGTGTGGTGGAGTCTCCTTCTTTGGAGGTCTTTAAGCAGTGGCTTGACAACCATATGTCAGGAGTGCTCTGATGGTGTTTCCTGCTTGGCAGGGGGTTGGACTCGATGGCCCTTGTGGTCTCTTCCAACTCTATGATTCTATGATTCTAAGTCATGTGTGCTTAGTGGGGCTGCTGCATGCATACCGCAGCGTGTCACTGCTCTCAGTCAGTCTCCTCCCTCACCCCTTGCACATCCACACGTTCAGAGACAGGGCTGGTCTAATGGCCTCAGGTGTTTGGAGCAGTGCTCTGAATGTCTGGTGGGGTAGGTCTCACACTCTGTTATCCAACTTCATGGCCTGGAGGACCTCCTCAGTGGCCCAGCACAGCAAGTGGGCATTTGCAGGGAGAGGGAAGGCCTTTCCTGCCCCCCTTCCACTAGGAAGGACTGAAGCAGCCGCGTCAGGTGGCAGAATCCCCTGCCTGCTTCTGCTGCTGCTGGAGAAGCGAGGAAGTGGCTCCGGCAAGATATTTCACGAAGGAGGGGCAGCACCTTCCCCTTTTGCCTCAAGACGCCTCAGACCCTTTTTTTCTCTGAGGTGCTGAGCAATTTATTCCAGAGGCATCTAGGGGATGCAGCTTTTCCCTATGTGTGGTGTGGCAGGAAAGGAAGGGCAACAAGCCCCCCTCTTTCTCCATTGTCTCTTTGTCAGCTAGAAAAGGTGGTGATGGCTGCTCAACATGTTTTTTTTGGGGGGGGGGCTCTGTTATGTGCAGAGAAGAGGAAAGAGAGCTGACTGTGAATCTGAAAGAACCATGTGGTTATTGTCAAGCCTTGAAATTGAGGCCGGGCTTTCTTGGCGGTGGTGATGGGAAGAAGGAGTTTAGGTGAGGCTCCATCTAAGGCTGCAATCTACACAAACATACCTAGGAGGACGTCCCATTGGACTTCTGAACAGACATTCCTAGGACTTCCCTGCAAGCTAATTGAAAAGACAATAATTTGTGAGGAAGAAAGGGAATTGACGCTGAAGAAGAGAAGGGAGCTCTTCCAAGGCACAGGGGAATAAATGGGCTTCTGGAAGTTTGTTTGCTTTTTTGAGAATCAGGAGCTGTGGTGTTATCCACTTAAGCTGTAATTTTAGTTGTCAAATCTGGCTTGTCACGCTTTTGGGTAATGGCTTGAGGCAGCCTTTGTTTTAGAGCTGATAAAGCAGCACTTTCAAACAGCAAGCAGCAGCCACAACAAAGTAATCTAGCAAGGCTTGTGCTCTCCTTGATTTCATCCCCTCTAAGATATGTTGCATTTTTACAAACCTATTGGCCAGCCAGCACAAGTCCAATGAAGTGTCTCTTGCTCATTGTACAGTGATTATTTTCTCTCTCTGTATACACACACATAGACATACACAGACACACTAAACGCATGCATATACTGTACGTACATATATACAGTTTCTTATAACATTATAGGGCTGAATATTTTTTTGACAACATGTACCATATTTTTCGTTCTATAAGACACACTTTTTCCCCTCCAAAAATTAAGGGGAAATGTGTGCACATCTTATGGAGTGAATGCAGGCTCCTTGGCTTCAGCGATAGCAACGTGAAGCCTCCGAAGCGCAGAGGGAGCGCTCCCTCCGCGCTCCGGAGGCTTCGTGTTGCTTTCGCTGAAGCCTGGAGAGCGAGAGGGGTTGGTGTGCACCGATCCCTCTTGCTCTCCTGGCTTCGCTTCGCTGGAGAGGCGCTGCACAGTTTTCCCTCTCTGCGCAGCGCCCCTTCAGCGAAGCAGGAGGAGAAATGGAAGGGGCTCTGTTTCTCCTGCTGCTTTGCTGAAGGGGCGCTGTGCAGAGAGGGGGAGAATTTTTTTCCTGTTCTCCGCCTCTAAAACAAGGTGCGTCCTATGGTCGGGTGCGTCCTATAGAGCGAAAAATACGGTAGATACTTATCAGAATGCAATGTGCGTAGGCATTTAGGCACACTTATTTATTTATTTTAAAAGGTGTACACCTACAAATGCAGAAAGGTCTTTGAAAACAGTGTGGCTTCCGGGTGAGGGTACATTTGGTGGCAAACTCAAGTTTGGTGCTGTATAGTGCATGAAATGATTCTCAGATTCCCAAAACCTTCTGCTGTTCTTTTAATATGTAGGTGGGGCTGGACTTGAACTTCCATGGCACTTGCAGCTCCTTCTTAACATCATTGCCAAGAGATGTCCTCTCTGTACAGCAAGGGGGCATTTCCTCTGACCATTCATTCATTTTTACATCATTATAGTTACATGTCCTTGGAGAAAAACTGTTGCAGAGTATTGTCATCACTGCATAACAACTCACTTCTCCATCACCCCGTTACAGCTCTCTTTTTTTTCAAAAAGATGATGAAGCTGATGAAGAAAGACCCTTTTTTCAGTGGCGATAACTCCAAAGCAACAGTTCCTTGGTAAGGATGGGAAAGAAAGCTGATTAAGTTTGCTTTAAAGGCAAATCTAACAAAAATGAAATGAAATGAAATACATACTTTTCAAAACAATATGCCAACCAAAGCACAGGCACCCCTTTAAAAACTCACACTTTTCAGTTTTTCAGTCAAAAATGCATATATTAAAGTGTCCATAAAAATGCATAAATTGGTGAAAATAACATACAAAATGCATTGTATTAGCCAGGGAAATTGCTATGCAAAAAATTGTTTATTAGGAGAAAAATCACAGTAAGATACTGATTAATAGTCACAATGTCTGTTTTTTTAATTTAAAAAATGCAAATGGTTGCAGAAATGTGGAGAACTCACTGAAAAAATTGAAAAATGAGAAATTCAGACAATGGAAATTGATAGATGTAGTGCACAATTTCATCTTTAGTATGATTGCGCCCCTATCTCATGGTGCCATCAGCGGAAAGCTTCAAGACGATGCCTCATTCTGCAGAATGAACAGGAGGCCCACCTAACAGAGCAGGGCGGGATTACTGGGCTTTGGAGTAAGTGAGCTAATATACATAACCATCTGAAGGGGGGAGGTAGGGAGGTGTTTCAGTCATTTTGTGGTCTGAAGATTATGGTTCTTTTGGTTTTAGAGACTGTTCTGTTCTAGTAGTTGGGGGAACAGCAACACATGCCCTGACATATAAATTAGTACATTAAAATGTTACGCAGATTTGTTTCTTATGGGGCTGTGACCTGAATCTTTTACGTACCCAGGAATGTGCCTCCCACACACCCCAGGAGCATTGCCAGTGCCAGCACAGTGAAAGCTCTTCCTTGACCGACTGCTGCTCAGTTGCTGGTACTGGATCAAGAAAGATGGTGGGAACTGAACCTTAGTGGGAAAACTGGTACTAACTGGACTTCATAGAGGGCCCCCCAACTTCAGATTTCCCTTTGTCTCTTTGCCTTTTACATGACCCAGAAACTCCACCTCTCCTTCTGCTACCTGTCATTGCAATGCTGCAAGATGACACATGTTCTCACATGTCTTACACTTTGGGAAGAGTGTGATTCTGTAATGACAAATACAAGGAAGTACTAATAACATTAAATAGTGCAATGAAATACATTGTGCAAAGCACAGCAAGAAAGGCTGCAGACACAACATATATTTAAAGCATGTTTCTGCTGCCCCACCCCCAAAGAATAATGGAAACTGCAGTTATGGATGCTGGGAACTGTAGCTCTGTGAGGGGCAATCTATAGTTCCCAGGATTCTTTGTGGGGTGCTTTAAATGTAATGGTGTGTATTGCAATTTTCAAAATTAGATTGGGTGGGGGAGGCAGGGACAGCACACACAGAGAGAATGTGGCCTGTGCTTCTAACCATAACCAGATCTCCACTGTGGTCCAACCAGATCTTCATGTGATTATTCACATGCAAGTAAATGTTACAGCCATAAAGTGAGAGTGATGGTGAACTTCTCATGCTAACAGGAGCAGGCAGGAGAGGGGACACGGCAATATATACGGTACTCCTTTTAGCATAGGAAGCTAACTTCCATCCCACACTAATAAATATAGGCAGGTTCTGGTTTGGCCCTGAAAGAAAATGATGGCACCAGTCACTTAATACGCAGGAGCAGAAAGCAGGTAACGCCCATCTCCCTGCTGTGCTCAGTGCAGAGAAGCCCTGGCAAAGCTGCTCTCAAAGACAGTACAACAATTTAATTGAGGCAGAAGTGCCTTCACTTTGCAACTAATCTTAGACCAATACTCCCTAGAACCTCAGTTCCACATTGGTCCCCGCTAGCCTATATTGCAGACTTGAGGATGTAGCGAATCGGCTGGGGCTTGGTACCAATAGTACAACGAGTATTGAAAGGAGGAGGAGGAGGAGGAGGAGACCTTGCCCAATTCTTGCACATACTGATGCACAGAATTTATTTATTCATTATATTTGTATTCCCCAGAGGTAACAAATACAGGTGGCTTCCAGATGTTTTAGGATTCTGCCAGCAGGGCCAATGGTCAAGCATGATGGGAATTGTAGTCTATAATATCTGGACAGAACCAGGTTGGCTTTCCTCATACACTCCTTGTCAACAATGTCCTTAAGCTGCCAGAACAAAGAATGTACCCAGAAATTCATGGCATCCTATGTACAAGTTCTTGAGATATTTCCAAACAGATAGGTTATAAAGATAGTGCTCTCTCCCTCCCTCCCTCCCCCCTCATTTTTCAGTGAAATATTCTGATTAGAATTATTTCCTTTCCACCTTAATGTTTTATTTTCAATTTCCTTGGAACAAATTTCCATGCAAACATTCGTAACGAATGTGGTATAATGCCTGGCCTGTTTTCCCTCCTGCTAAACCCCACCTCTTCTCTCAGTTCACAGATATTAGTGCACCAGGATCTTCTAAGCCTGCCAAACCCAGCTTGCTCATTTCTGCTTGCATTAGTGACTTCACATTGCTAGCTGTGTGATCCAGGCAAAACGCCAAAAGAATTGCAAGATGGTCGCTTGAGGGTAAAAGATCAAAGCGACTTTCAGAAAACTTTCCTCTGCTTTCAGCTCCTTCTAGGCTTGTCATGGATGTTTGTCATAGCAGGAATGTGTCACTCATGTGTTATCACACACGTTTTAGTGTAATGCGGGAATTTATTGCATCCTTCTGTCAATCCAGTCGTCAGCCAGTGGCTCACTGCTAAGGTAAATATATGTTGAAACGGATCAACTCTTCAGTGATTCATTAAATGACATTAGCATACCAAACGCCTTAGCATTTCAGTCTGGGCGTTGCTAACTGGGAAACAGTTGCTTAATGCCGAAGTTTAGTCATACATGGTGACCCAGATGATTCTTTGATTTACATTATGTGACGTCCTTTGAAACATGTGACTGGGAAAGCAGCAGTCTTACGTTGCATTGTGCTTATGGGTGTGAAACCACACTATGATAAGAGCATATTTCAGCCTGGGAAGAGGAGATGGAGGCAGAGACTTGGTTGAAGTCTGGTCCTATTCAGGTTTACTTGGAAGTAAATCCCACAGGATTCAATGGGACTGGTGCATCAGGGCATCATATCACAATCTCTGCCTGCCATGCACTTTTTTCTCTAGGGGGAAAGAAAAAGATGATGTCACGAAGCTGTCTCCCTGCCACTAGTCCCCCTCGTCTCCAGCATTTGTGGCTGTCTTCACAAAGAGGCCATTTGTGGTTTGCTCCTGCAGTACCTTCTCTCAGTGCTGCCAGAGCAAATAGGGAGATACTTCCTTGCAGAGGCAGCCACAGTTCATGCTGAGGTCCAGACAGGGAGGTGTGGAGGGGGACACAACAGTTGCTTCTTCATTTCCAACCCAGACAGAGTATAAGATGACAACAAAGAAAAGTAACCCTGTGCACAGTTACATGGGAGTAATTCAATACGACATACATGCACATAAGACTGAGGTGCTCTACCAGCCAAAATATGGGTTGTTGGACCCTTGATCATTGTGCGTAACCTGGTGTTTATATAAACAGGAGCACAAGAGTGACCAAAATTTGGTTTTGAACTGTTCCTTCTGATACGGCACCTTTCCTGAGCTTTTTGTGAAAATGGTTCTCCGTGCCATAATAAAGCAATAAAGTCATCACAGGAGAACTCTAGCATTTTCCAAGCAAGTGCCAATCAGACCCCAAAAGAAAAAGAAATAAAACAGGTATCCCTCATTTTTGTGCTGCTTATAGTGAAGAAATTATGGCAGTACAAGAAAGACCAAAAGAAAAGCCAACATCAGACAGCTACATGAGCACACAAGCTAGGCATTTAAGAAACAACCAGTTTGCTGAGCAGAAGCAAGCAGGATAAGAGTAGTTCTGAGTTTTCCAGTAAGAAAGGATGGTCGGGTGAGAGTGGGGGCACAGCTGCAGCAATTTTCCAATTGGGCAAGTGCTGAAAGAAACTGTGCCTTGGCTTCCTAATAAGAGTTAAACATTTCTGGAATGGGACGTGTTGATCATGGATTTGCAGGAAGGATGTCTAGTCCTCTTACCTACAAGGAATGGCACTTAATCATTTCCCGAAGTGAAATTTCAAAGGGCATTTGGAGGTTCGTGCTTGAAGGAAACTTCCCAGAGATTTCTCAGCCGGTGGGATTTCTCAAGGAGTTCTGCGTGTCCCTCCCTAGAGCCCACAGAGAACCCCATCAGAGACAGCATATTACTAGCACGGATGTGCTGTTAGGAGTCTGGAACGGTCCATGGAAAGGACAAAGATAATAACACAAGGTAAATTTCACCTATTTTGACGGGAATTTGAAGATTCTTGCAAAGCACTAACCTTCCAAGGGAAACAAACAGAGCTTTTATAGCACGAACAAAGTTCTAGGGAGGGTTCTACACAGACTGTAACTCAGAAACAATCCAAAACAGATCAAGCGTAAAGAAAGCAGAGGACTGAATACCACAAATGATGTCTGGCGTGTTATGAAAACTTGGGCCAACCACTCCACCCCTTTCATTGTTTAAATGTCATGCCAGGGACACTGGTAACTGATACTTCCCTCTCTGTTTTCTGTTCCTCCCTGCTCGTCGTTTCCTGCTAGCAGCCACTTTTTATTTTTTAAGCACAATCTCATAGGAGAAATGCTAGCAATCTTTAATAGCACAGGAGACTTGCTGGATTAAGCAAAGAAAATCAAGCCGGTATAACATTATCCCACCCCTCCACCCCAGTAATGGGCAGCCAGATTGTTCTGTTAAAAGCAGGGTATTTCTAGAGCCCTGGTCTACTTTACAAGCCATCCTAGAGCCGCAGATCTGGGAACAAGGATCCGTAGTTTATTTTATTTCAAGCTGCTTTCCAATATATTATATATATATCCTAAACTGTATTGCAGAAGTAAATATAAGCATAATTACCCCACTCCTCCCATGAGCAGTATTTCAGGATTGACTTTTCTCTAAAACAAGTACTGTAGTTCAATGTTTTCTACAGCTTATAATCAAAACAAGTCTGACTTAATCAATCAAATCCACATTTCATTTTTCTGAATTCATCTGACCCTTCTTCAGTTGATCCTACTTTTCCTTACAAAACAACAACCCAAAACTTTCATTCCAAAGAATTTAATTCCAAGATGCATTGGGCATAATAAAACATTTAGGGACTTTGAAAGTCTGTTTCTTTATTATTTTTCATGCCATAATTAAAACTGTTTTAGAGGTTTCTGTTGGTTTGCTGAATAATTTGTATAATTGAAAATCAATCAATCAATACTCTAAAAAACAACTAAGATTGGGAGGGAGGGGAAATATAGTAATGGGCATATAAACTTAAGCTCCTTTTTAGGTTTACTGATTGAACTCTGATTTGAACTTTGGTTACCAAAAGGGAACACAGAACTCATAATTAATGCCATATCTTAAGTAGTACAGTTCTTGGAATGTTGCACTGTTCAGGAAAGTTGGGGGAAGGAGTGCTTATATTTTGGAATTTCCTGCCAGGAGACCTGAAAAGAAACTTCCCTTTCCTGTTTCCAGTTGGTAGGTAAAGTTTTTCTATTTATGATTTCATCAAGCACAGATTATTTGAGTCTTGCTTTTAATTGCTGATTATTCCTATTTTAGTATAATGCTTTACATTACGGTTAGTAATTGGTTGTAATAGTCGCTTTCTGTTTTAAAAATCTATTTTGTCTTTGAGCATCTTTTTTGATAGAAAAGTGTCTGTAGAAATGAAACACACACACACACACGTCATTTACCTCACTGCCATTGATTAAATGGTTAGGAATAGGCATAATGACTTGATACATGATTTATTTTATTTACTTCAAAAACCTCAAAGTGGTTTCAAACAGAAGTATTCAAGTGAGTATTTCTTTTGGTTGGCTTTGACTAGCAAGCCCTAAAGTGCTGTGGGAGGCTGATATGCATATTATGTAGGGTAAAGCTGGATTTGTCATGCAGAATACTATTTAACAGAGAGTTGCAGGTATATACCTAACACTGAGGTGTGCCAAGAAGCTCTGCAATTTTAATTTCCTTGGTGAAGCATTCACGCTACTCTACAATAGCCGTTCACACTCGCGTTTGCTTAAGCTACTTATTTTGTTAAAAACAATCAGAACTGTTTGCAAAGTTTTTATCAGCTGACCTTGCAATCTGAAAAATATTTGCTGACTCTCCAAGCTCATTGGGACACAGCAGCTGCTTGACAGCTCTTGCAGCCAAACCAGTTTGTCTGTCTATCTCTCCTACTCGCCTGCTTTCTTTACCCGGCTGCTGTCTTGGATTGGGACTCATGCTTGCTTTTGACCTTGCACCTGCTTCTGGCCCCTCCAATCCAGCCATGTAGCTGCCACATTTCAAAATGGGGCATATTTGGGATGGGGGAGGTGCATCCAGTCCCACCATCACCACCTCCCAGTCACTGGTGGAGAGCATATGAGGACCAGGCCAGGGAAAGTGAAAGGCAGTCACTTTCCCCATCATGGCTTCCTCCTCCATGCAGAGAGAGTGTTAACTTACACAATGGGCTACGTCAAGGTCAAGTTAACTGAAAACATAGTACGAATTATGACTGACGTATATTTTGTTTCATAAGAAAACAGGATGTTAATGATACCAAGGGGTTCATGCTGTAACTAAGATGTTCAAAACTAGGGTGAACCTTGTTTTCTAAAAGAAAAGAAAACCCGTTTTAATATTGTATCATGATAACCAGCGCAAAAGCAACAAATACCAGGTTTAGAAAGCACATTATGGTGCAACTAGGGAGCGTGGGGCTGAAAACACTCTGCATAACTTTCTTGTTCAAGTCAAAGAGATTGAGTGCTTAATTTTGTAAAATATTTACTGCATAAAAGACTTTCTTTCATGAATGTACAAAAATGCTTGATAAACTTGCAAGAAATCTTTCTGAATGGTAAGTTCACAATGCACCTTTTCAGTGTTAAAGGAATTCTAAGGTCTCAAATATAAAATAAATGTTGATAATTGCACAGGGTAAACACACATAAGTATATAAGCCGTGCCTGAGAACACCAATCAGGGGAAGTTCCTGAAGGGATTCCTCTCCCATATCTATCACCCTCCTTGGTATTAATTGCCATTTTTTGCCCAGATGCTCTGCATTGAGGGATGTCTGATGGCCATCCTGGTTGTCTTATCAAATGCTAATGTTTTGTGTAAACTGTGCCTGGAACTATGTAAAACTTGCTAAATCCTCAGGAACATCACACCTTGGTCTGCTTGAGCCGCAGTAACCCCACCTTATGTGTGATGTAATTTCTGGCGCTTTGTAGAGGGGATCCCCTCCTTCTCCAAGCCAGAATGCAAACCCTTAAAAGAGATGTTTCTTCTTGGTTCTGGGTCTCTCTCGCCTCCTTGCTAGGAGGGGAGGGAACTCTACTGCAACAGAAAAATAAAGATCTGCATTGCTTTCACTGCATCCTGCCTCCATCCAGTCATCTCTGACTGATCATGGATTTAGGGGACTTGGTCCCTTGGGGAGTTGGGCAGCAAAAGCCAACCACCCCTAGTTGTCTATATCATCAGCAAGAAGTACCTAGCCCTGCTCTACTCAACATAATAAGTGCAAAATAAATGCAGGCAGACAAACTGGCTTCTTTATTTGCTGCATGGATAGAGAACACAACTGAAACCAATAAGCAGAGCAGTATAACCAGTGCAGTCACAAGGAAGAGATGGAAGCGTGTGCTTTTGATTTCAACTAACTACAGTTTGCCATTACTTCTGAATCAGAAACTGTGGTTAGCATTCACCATAGTTGATCTTTCCAAACAAGCCAAGACCATTAACCATGGTTCAAAGTCCGTTGGTTTGGGCAAATCCTTAGCTAACTGACCACAGTTTGTCCTGGTTCAGACACAGCAAAACAAACAAGCAAACACCCAGTGACTAGCAAAAATGGAAGAAAATGATTTGTAGCCAAGCCAGAGAGAAGTGGGGAGATAATGAGGTTAAGGCTCATATGCGTAATACAAAACTATTGTTTTAAATTATATTGTTATGAGTCTTGGGAGTCAGAAACAATATCCAGAAGGTCAGAGAACAAAACCAGTTCCTTTGTTAAGGTAATGGCTTTGGCTAACCAGTTAAGTACTGCAAATTGTAAGTCCAAAGAGGCTGCCATAGAGACAAATGGGCCGGCCTTTTCCCACCTCACCTGGCTGAATGTCACATCATCCCAAGGAGGGCTGTGCATCTGAAAGTTGTATTTGTGAGTTGGGTTGATGCTAGAAGCTGGAGACACTGAGACATGTCTTGTTCTTAATTTCAGTTGCTGTCTTCTGAGTTTGTGTTATCATATTTAGTTTTCTGTAGGAACCTGTGCCTCCAAGCCTTCCATACTTAACAGCTGTATTCTGTCTTTCCACTAGAGAAAGGAACAGGATGACCTCAGAAACAAGGTTAAGATGTCTCTACCCGTGTGAGTCAAAAAATCTGAATGTTTCTCCTGATTTAGGATTGATTAGTAAGTAGAAATATCATACTCTGCATTAATCACTGGCCCACGTAAAGCATATATAATGATCACAGGAGCAAACAGCTTTCTCTGTTTGTCTTATAGATGAACCTGCTATGGAAACAATGTAAGCAGATAATACTAAGAGCAGTGCTAACAAATGTGAAAAGCTTTATCATTCTGGCAAACTTGAGGGCATGCAGAAT